CACGGACCACTGAAGAGCAGTGTCCCGAGAAAAGGTGTGACCGCGCACTCTGTGTAGGTGCTGTGACTTTGCTGTGTGTAAGTCCTTGGAGGCCCTCTGGGGTTCTTAAAGGCCCTCGGAAACTAACGTAGTGAGCGTTTCCCTTGTGGACATCTGGGCTATCGAAGTATAAAAACAAAAGTGGGCCAAAACTTGCTGATTTGATTCTACATTTTCCCATGTATTCCATGCGCGTGAACATGCAAAGCTTTCAGGTCAAACACAAACCACAATCGTTGTGTGGAAATTGACTTGCGTGTTCTCAGCTCTATGTCTCAAGCAGGGTAGAGAAATTTTTATCCCGCCCGCCCAACCCCTGGGTCTGGCTCAGAAACGTGCGGTCCAACCGACTGTTCTCGCCCCGACCGATGAAAAGGGCATGGGCTGGATACGGAGCCGCCAAGCTAAAGGCCCCTTCAAGACTTCGGACACAGAGTGCTTGGCCGCTTTGCATGTGCCAGTGGATAGCTTCCTTGATAGGCAATTAATCTTCAGGCTACGGCTGATACGGGCGATTTTGCAGGCTGCAGATGATCCTGATAGAGATTTCCTTCTCCAAGCGGAGGAGGGACTACCGGTGGGGATAAGGCACCCGCTACCGAGAACTCCCCATGTATTTGAGGAGCAGACGAAATGGCCGCTTGATAGGGAGCCCTGGGAGTCTAGCCTGCCTGGGTCCTTAACAATGGATCAGCTAGCGACCGCATGGAGTTCGCTAGGGAGAAGTTTGAGGAAGAGATAAAGGAGGGCATGATGGAGAAGCTATCCATGGAGGAGTTCGAGAAGCGCTACGGTGAACACCGAGCTGTTGCCGCGTTAGCGGTGATAGTGGAGGACGAGGAGAAGGGCAAGAAGCGTCTGATACATGACGCTACCCAGGGCGTCAGAGTCAACCACCAGATAAAGTGCAGAGACAAGATGAGGGCTCCAGGAGCCCGTGAGAGGAAACAGCTACCCTGGAGATGATGGAAAGGAAGGAGCCAGCCTTCTCGATAGTTTGCGCTATCTCCAAGGCGCGCAGGAGATTCAAGCACCGCGAGGACGAGCGCGGCTACCTGGCTTGCCAGCTAGAAGGAGACGGCCAGGATAATAGTGTCAACTGTGCCAGCTAAACTGTGCCAGCTATTGGTGGACGCGGATATCGGCAGCAGGTCTCCGGGCTACCTATCACCTGATAGGCCCGTGCCCCTTGGATATGCTCCTCTACGCGGACGACTTGGAGTCGCTAGCTACAACGAGAAGAGGAAGGATCGGCGTCATCCTTAGCTATAGCTACCTGGCGGCCCTCGGATACCCCTTTAAATGGGCTAAGATGAGAGGGGGATTTAGGGTAGAGTGGCTAGCGTGGAGACCGAATACTCGAGCTATCGGCTTGGCCTCACGGACAAGAGGTCCCGTTGGCTAATCTGCTGGCTACGCGACAAGGTCTCCTCGGGCCACGTGGAGATGGCCTTGGGCTTTGCAGCGATATCGCTAGACCTTCGCAGCGGGCAAGGCACCCTTTATTCCATTCGCGTGCACGAATGGCACCATTTCTTGCAAGGCCTCTCTGATGACGCAATGGTAACATCAGAGCCTTCAGGCCTCTGGCTTACGCCCGGGTCACGCCTTTTGGAGGTTGGAGCAATCAAGGTGCACTGCAAGCGTGATGTGCCTCCAGTCCGCCCTCACAACCACAGTGGGTGAGGCTCAGCGACCCAGCACGTCATGAAATCCATCTACGCAACGAAAGCAAGAGAGTTTTGGAATGGCTGTCCTCATGCTTTCAGCACGACCAGCTTCGCAACATGCGTCAATCACCTCTGCTGCACTGCATGGCAGCGGCCGATGCCATGACCGAAGGCGATGTCGTTGGCGTTGGAGGCTGGATCAGTACTGCCACGCAATTGACACAAGTCAGGCAATTCTGGCCCATGCTCACTAAGCGCGCACAGGCATACATCTCGTGTTTCGAGACCATCGCACAACCCGCTCTAGCAATGATGGCATTGCGCCGCTGTCATGCGAAACATTTCAAGTTCGTGCTCCCCGCAGCCTCTGACAACACGTCACGTCAGCAGAAGCAGGAATCAACAGGCTTTTCACTACGACTGAGCCTCTTTGCCACTTTCTCAAACTGGTAGCAGCGTGGTCCGCACGCAACCACGTACAGCTAGCAATCGCCCATCTCGCTGGAGAGAAAAATGTTTGGGCAGATGAGCTCAGTCGCAACAAAACAGCCCGTTTCGCAAACCGCAAGCACTGCATAGAACGCATTTCTCTTACAGCTCTGTCAAGCCCGCAGGGTCACTTGACCCTACACCCTCAGCACGCAGCATGGACAGACGAAGTGCTGGCAGCACAGCACGCCTTTCAAACGAAAAAACAGATGTCTGGCATTTGCGCTTTTTGTTCGCACGCGCTGCACTTTGTTGCGCCCTACCTTGCTGCCTGCAGGTACGAAACCCTCTGACGCGAAACGGGGGAACTTGCAGTCACAGAGGCTCTCGAACCTAAAGTGGAGTCCGTTGTGATCCTAGTTGCTTTCTCACTGCATGCGCCTGCACCGCACATTTCGAGAGCATTCCGTGACTCAAAGAAGGGAGCCTGCTGCTGTTCTGTCGGGGCCAAGCGTAGGAAGCACTAACTTGAACGTGACACGTTGCTTTTTGGTCGTGCATGTTTTAGTTAGTCCTATTCTTACGCTTGCTGACTCGGTGCTTCTGTAGCGTGGCCCAGGAAAGCTTGGGTTTTTAAGCACCCACCCTCCGCACCCTGGGAAGCTCGCACAGCTCCACACAATTACACAACGCAGTTTCAAGCTCGCAAGGTGCTCGCACAGCATATGTTTTCCAACGGCTCGCATAGCCACGTCTCACCATGTAGGGGGTCCGTTGTGATCCTAGTTGCTTTCTCACAGCATGCGCTTGCACCGCACATTTCGAGAGCATTCCGTGACTAAAAGAAGGGAGCGTGCTGCTGTTCTGTCGGGGCCAAGCGTAGGAAGCACTAACTTGAACAAACATGAGGCATGCGTTCCACCACTGGAAAAATGCGTGAGCTGCTGTGTGCCGATTTCGTTTTCATATGTTTTCATTCAGATAGTTAAATTTGGAATGAATACATATAGTTTGTATGCAAGCACAACTACTTGGGTAGAACGGGTATGTGGATGTTTTCTGTAACTCTTGAATTGATGCTACTTTGTTTTGTCTGCATTCTAATTGGATAGGCGCTGACCGCACTAATTTGTTTGTGTTCGGCTCAGAAAGTCGTACACGGAAAAGTCAAAAATTGCATTCATTGTAAGGAACGTACTGCACCAAGGACATCATTCAGCAAATAGCAGTATGGCTTCATCAACATCAGACAACTTCAAAGGAAACCAAATCGCCAATTGCATCTTTCAACGTGCACATACACGGTTTATTTTTCTTCACAAGGCCTGGCGTTCCATCATCTAGCATCATCCTTTTCATCCGGACAATTCTATGGCACACAAAGTAACAAATCGCCTTTTAGATCATCTCACATAGTACATTGCAGGGTCACGCTTTTTGCTGTGGCCGCAGCACCGAACGGAAGAACATTCATAGGGGACAGCCCCATCAGCAACATGCGCTCCTGCAATGAACGTGCGGCGTGGAAGTTGCATTGTGAACCGTTTGTCCAGTGCAAGGCACCAGCATACATATATTATGTGTTTGAACTTGAGCACATGCCTTCCCCCTGCAGGCGAATGAGTGTCAGTGGGTCAGCCGCCACAGCAGGCCGTCACCGCATTAGAATGTAGATCTTGTTGTGCTGACCAAATGCGAGGAGTACCTTCGCCAAGGGCCTGCGATGCCTTTCCGTATGCCTCGCGCGATGAGGAACGCATTGTCAAGACGACGACGCGCGGTGGCACATGTTCTTGAAGCATTCGGAGCCTGTCAGCTTGGCAGGGAGCAGCGGCCGAGGTTGCATGACATTGCGTCGCAAGCAGACATGAAGCTTTCCTTGAAGGCTGGAACATCCCATGTTGCACGAAAGACTAGAGTTGGTATGCAGCAGCCTTCAGGTCTATCATTTCCAAGAGCTTTCTCGGACATCTTTGATGGATGATATGCTGCAAAGGGACTCCCGGTATGCTCGCCTGAAGCAAGACTTGCGTGAAGATGTGTCTCATCTTTCGCCCGCACAGCAGCTTGGCTAACGCGGTTGCCGTTGACCTTTTCCCTTTGACCTTCCAGTGCCAAGGCTTGTAGCAGCAATGGTCTCCTGTGGACGCCTGCAAGTTCGAGAGAAGGCCCTCTGGTGGGACTTGGCGTATCTTGGCTGAAGTATGGGTCTTCTGTTCATCTCGCATTGTGAAGGGACTGGGCTCTATATCCTCCGCATTGTACGTTCCAAGCTGGTTGACCGAAGTTCCAAGGCGTGCGGTGGAACGGCACACTGTGAAAACACGCAGTGGTGCTCCAGGCCTTCAGCATTCGCAGATTTGTCTCACCATGTATTCCTTGGGCAAAGCCGGCATACGGATCAAGGATCGCCACTTGGCACCGTTTGAACCCCGTCCCTTCCTGATGGGCATGGGCTGTGCTTGTTCTCCTCCAGCGGACGAGGTTTCTACTACCGTCTTTTCAAGCTCATGGTGAAGAATGCTGAAGTTTGGACAGAATTCGACATGGCTTGGCGCCTGGGCGGCATCTTGCAGACTCTGATGTCAAAGCACATTTTGGAAGCCGAGGATTCTGTATGCCATGCGGAAGCGCAGGTTGAAAGCTTTCAACCAGGATCTGCCAGAACATCAAATGTGGGCCAAAGTTACGATCAACATCGCCGCTTACTTCAGGCAAAAGCTTCATTTCATATCCCCACAGGGCATTGTTTTCATTCTCTACGAGTTCGCCAAGCTTGGGCTATACCCAGGTACTCTGCCCAGCTGTTTCCGTGGAGCCATAAACCTATCGAGCAGCCTGCGAGCAACACTTCGAGTGAAATCTGAGGCCGGTGCATCTTTCAAGCAGGCCGCCGGGTCCGAAAGCATGTAGGCTTGCTGAACAACAAAGCGCTGGTCTGTTTGGCGGTGACACTTGCTAGCTGCTTACCTGCCCTGGTTTTCTCAGATTTCCAATTTTTGCACTGTTTGTGGTGATCTCAGGATTCGACTGGCCGGAACGGCGCTTGTTGAAAAGGTTGAGCTCTGAGGTGGCCATGCCTCGGCGCATGGTGCAGCTGCATCCCAACATGCTGGCAGTGATCCTGCACTCTTACGCCAGGTCGGTTATGTTGTTTGGGTGCCATGTCTCAGCTGTAATTCCTTTGACTACTCGAGTAGGACCGTTGCCAACTTAAAGGGGCCCATGTGATGCTGTTTTTGCCGCAAGGCTGGGCATTCGGGACGTAACGATGTTGGAAAATGTCACCGAGAAGCTTGCCCGTTCCATCGACAAACTGGTTCCAAACTCGGTTGTGTGTGTGTGTGTGTTTTTTTTTTTGGTGGTGTTTCCAATAGTGGGCACTGTGTAACGTCATGTGAGCATATTGCGCGCTTTCAGGGCCGGAAGTATACAACCATGGTGGCCCTCTCTTTGGGTCGACTCGGGGTGCGTGGCAACCTCTGGAAGCCGCTCGCTGAGCGCATCTCTGGACAAATCGACTATTACTCACCAGCTGACTTGGCATTGACACTTGGCAAAGAGCCTTGTAGTAGGTGTTTTTAAAGCTTGGTGGGGGAAGCATGCCTGGAGTTCATTCAAGACCGTAGCGGGGTCATTCACCGTTATCGGCCTCAGAACCGCTTCTGTACGTAGCAGAGGCCGGCTTTAGAAGCCGTCGTGGAGATCCAATAGAATTCATATAAAAAATGATTCAGCGCTAGCTGCGTGGCAACAGCAACATGCATACACTGATGTCGTCGTCAAGATGTCCAGCATATCTTTGACTTCCTGCACATTTTCAAGGCATGCTCTGCTTCCCTGCGCACGTGGGCACATGTGGTCATTTTAAGTTTCGTGTCTGTGTGCCTCACACCAGGATCCTAGCAGAAACTCCATATGCACGCCCAGAAGCCCCTGTCCAACGCGTGAAGGAGTGTACGTACCAAGTGATAGCTCGCCCTCTCCTCTGCTACGGGATATCACACGCCTGAATAAGCTTTTTGCAGTCAGCAGCCTCTTTGCAAATACTGGCGTAGGGCTAACGCCGCCTCCCTTACGTAGAGCCTGCCGCAAGTTTTAAGGGAGCCTTTCTCGGCCTGCATTTGTTTTTAGTTTTGACGCGATCTGTCACGTGACGTTCGCAGTGTGTTGGCTTTCCTCTGCTGCATTGACCAGCGTGCAGTAAGTGCCCTTGGAACCCTCATGTGGAATGGGCTGGAAGACTCGGCGAAAAGCTACTTCTAGGGCAGGCGACATGCATCCAACAAGGAAAATCGCTCGCGGGAATTGCCACCGCAACATGCTCGGTCATGTTATCTTTAGCGTCGCCTACGTGATTGTGACCCTGCAACAATTATGTCTCATAATTTGAGGAGGGCAAAGCCTAGTTACTTTTGATCTTTGTCCACTTCAGCCGGAATTCTGCACAGGTTTGCTGGAAAACAGAAGGAGATCGATTTCTCGAAATTGTGCAGTGAGACCTTCAAAGTCATGCTGTCAGGCAGTGCCTGTACATGCAGGCGGTGTGGCCTTCACAGGGGCAGAGCTGACACTGCGCATGCGCCGCACAGTTCTTCACTAACACCATGAGACATCAGTGGCGTATTTGACGTGTTGGTTGCTTGATCGTTCGCTGCTGATGACATCATGTTCACAGGCACTGGCAACAGCACTCCAGATACGCACCTGTTCGTCCCAGTGCCTATCTTCATCCATCTACCATTGCCAGCCAAACGCTCAATGTACTTAGTTGACGTGCAGACTGTGCACAGACGGCACGAAATCAGTCATCAACGTGCTAAAAATCAGACGCTTGGCTTGAGGTAAACATGCTTAACTCGTGTTCTTGGAGCAAGGCATGGGCACTTGCGGTCTGCACAGAAAATATGCAACAGCTTGACGTGGTGCAGTTGCTTGCGCGGTAAAATCTATTGATGCTTGTATGCTTCGGTAGACATCGGCAGTTTGAAATGACGCAGCATCCTAATACGCACGGTTTAACGGACAGACGTGAGCAAAACATGGGATTAATCATCCAGGTTCATTTGTTCCGAAGATACGCTTCACGTTCCCGGCTGTTTCATCCCCTACGGCTCATGAAACGCCACAGCTAGTCAGGGTCCGAAAGAGGAATTGCGAGGAAGGTTTTGATGGGCTGGTACCTCTGCCAGCTGCTGCGCTTGTTTCGCCTGTGCCCGAGGGGATCTGTAACGATGAGAAAGTGCCATGCTTCTGCCACATCACGAACACCTGAAAGTGACACCATGATGACAGCTCCAGGGATCTCACCCTGACATTCCCGATCGTGGGCACTTTATACAGAGATATGAAAGTCTCAAAGCGACGACAGTTACAAGGATCGCGAAAGCCGTGCTTGACCGTTTCTACCGTCCGATCGTGACATCAGCGACCATTTGCAAGCAATCCCGCAGGCATGCGAAAACTGTGAACAACTTGAACCCCTCATGAATGTTTCGCTCTGCGATTTTTTCATGACGCAGAGGCATGGTTTTCGTCAGCCGCCGACCCCCAGCCCCAAACTTGTAACCTTTTTGCAACACGCACATCCTTTGCAAATTCCAGACCCTCCTTCCTGCAGAAAAGAGGTTTGCCGGACTTACAATGTCGGCTCCCCAGCCCCACTTCCCTCCTCCGCAGTTCCTCGCCTTCTGCAAACAGCAACAATTCTCTAAGGCCATCGAAGGCCTGACACTGTCGGCCATGTTCGCTTCCAACTTCCCTGCCTTCCCCATGCCCATCCTATGAGGCTTGAGTTTTTTTTTGTGAGTTTTTCGATGTTCATTGGACATGTCCTGGCGTATAGCCGCACGGTATAGCCATGGTACCAGTGACATTGGAATCAACAATTGGCTGATGTGATGCCTGCAATGTCATTGGCGCACGGACACAGAAGCCGATCAAGCTCGTGCGATGTGCGGATGTCCCATGCAGTCTATGCAGTGCGCTCTTTTCAGGACAGGACGGTCGTTTCACGGGCCAGTCCTATGGGGTCTTCTCATTGCTGGTTCCTGATTGGAGAAGGTTTCAACAAACCTTGAGGCCACCGTTAAAGCGGTAGGTCATTGATGACAGCGTCGGGCGTCTCGGGTAGGGCGGATGTTCATGAGGGGCAGCTTGCGGCTCGTATTGCTGTGTCCCATGTGCCCACTGCGTCTCAATGGGCCCGCTGTCGGTGCCCACTGTGCCGCATGCCCGAGGTCCGGCGTGTCACGGCGGCGTGACACCCTTGGCGCGGTGTCTTGCTCGGCCCGCCATGAGCAGGTGCATGACGGCGTCTGAAGTGTCGGTTGCGCCCTCCAAGTTTCAGCTGCGGTTCTCGCACAGAAAAATTGCCTCCTGAAGACCAGCTGCCGCAGCGTAACGGACGGGCATGGGTAGGTCGCACTGTCCCGCTCCCTTGCGCCAAACATGGCGTGTGCCCCTAGGGTGGGCATTTGAACGCGTCTGTGGTTGACAATGTCGGATCCGTTCTGAAGCCTGACTCCTTGCGAGCTTCGGCTCTGCCTGTACCTGTAGAAGTGCCCCGGGCTGTGTTTTGTTTTGCCTTTATTGCAGCAGCTTCGCGCAACGGCGCTACTTGTTGACATGGTATATCGTGTATCGCGGGTGCTTGGTTGGGAGGATCCAGCTTAGACCGGCAATTCTTCCTGCTTGTAGACTTGTACCGACCAGATGTGGATGTTGCTCATTGCATGGGCAACAAAATTTGACAACCGCGTGGTCCATACTTTGCTGAACTTGAATTGAATCTTTTCGCCTCGGTCTCCACCACGGGGCAAGTCCCAGGACATCCCTTTGCAAGTTCTGTACCGCGTTTTGTTTTCCACGTTTTCCGTTTGCACCACAATGGTCCCGATCACGAGAATGTTTCCCGCACAAGAATTTCAGTCCCTCGCTTCTGGTTTGGTATGTCGTTGCTTTGCTTCCATTTTTGGAAATCATTGTTGTGGCAGAAGAACACGAGCTCGTGGAGTTGCGCACGTTCCGCAACAAATTGGGGTGCTGTGATGCCAAGAAGAATTTCATGGCGTTGGCCGACGGGGGTAGCCACCCAGATGGAGATCAGGATGCTGTCGTTGTTCACTGTTGAGCAAGCAACAGGACTCCCACGAACGCGTGCTGGTCCGGCTGACTACTGCCAGACCTTGTTCATGACGCACAATGCCATCCCACACCAGTCGCCATCAAGGTTTGGTTTTCCCAGCCAGTTGCGTTGGGCAAGTTTTTGGACGCACAACCCAAATTAGACGTTAATGTTGAAATCCCCAGCACGTTTGAATTGATTTTCCAATCGCCGCAGCCCACTGTAAAAGAGCTC